AGGGGGGGAAAAAAGAGGGCGAGGGGGGGGGGGGGTGGAGCTTGTGGGAGACAAGTGGAGGGGAGCAGAGTGGTGACATGAAAAGACAAATGAAGCCGGGCCGGCACAGGCAGAGACAGGGGTGAAATAAAGTGGAACTGACTCCTGAGATGACATGCTGCAGGTGACTCACCATGAATCGTAGGTCATCAAAGCCATTGAGCAGGAACTTGCTCTCGTACTGCGGCAGCCCCACGTGCTCCAGCCACTCTCCGACCGGCTGGTCCAGGGCTTTACCACAGGCCCCATCTGCCGAGAGAGGGAAGCGCTTCAGCAGGGAGAAGCCGTTCAGCCGGTAGCAGCGGCACTCAGAGGACGACACATGGCATTGCCACATCATCCTCGGCCAGCAGAGGCAGAGCCGAGTGCAGCAGCACCAGGCAGGGTGGGGGGGAGACAGGGTCCAGGCTGGGGATGAGGGGCTCCCACTGTACAGGCGGGGGCCCGGCTAAACTCAAACACAGGAGGAGGATAGGAAGTGCTGCAGGCAACGCTCCGGCCCCTGCAGGGGACTGACTAGACTAATATTACACCTACTGGTGCTAGTGTGACTGACTGGAGATGTCAGGCGAGGGTGGAGGTAGTGCGGGGAAGGAAGCCCATCTGAAGCTTGGTTTTCCTAATTATGTTGGACTGAGCCACTGTGGCATCTTCCAACAAACAAGGTTCACTAAACATTCCTTTAGTGAGCAGATGAGCAAGTGTGAAAAAAAAAAAAAAAAAAAAAAAAACAAGTCCCTAGCTACAACAACACTAAACACTACACACAAAAAAGGCTGGATATTTTTAGGCTGAAGGAAACCAGGGAGCAGACATTTCCGTATATATAACACATTACTATCCTAAAAGTCTCCCTGTCATTTCAGATATACTAAACTCATTAGGGTGTAACACAGATATATTCAGCTCCCCCAAAATAAAGTGGACAGGGTTTTCACCACATACTTGTAAAGCTCTGGCTGAGTCCCATGGCTTCATTGGTCAACCTCTTTGAGAGCTAGGACAAGGCTCATACAATGAAGGTAGCAGCATTCTAAAGTACTGTTGAGGTACTCATGTTATTTTTTTAAAATCAAGGAATACACATTTCAAGTTCAAATCATGTTTCGTCCTTACTCCAGAGCCACACAGAGTACGATCAGGTAGACATATTGTAAATCCCACATCAAAGAAACGCTGGATTTCCAGTGTGCCAATTCCAAACTCCTCAATTCATATTCAAATCCAAGAATATATTCCTCGCTCCAGGTGAACTGTGAGGCAAAAGGCTCAGTGTCCTTGGTGGTTCCAGTGCTCCCAGTGCAGCCCAGCATTCACACTCCTTCAGTGGGCTGCTGTCAGTGCGGCTCCGCCGGAGAACGTGCCTCTCATCTCTCAGAGCAGTAAATCCAGGTTCAGATCCGACGCGCGGCAGGTGAGCTCTCTCTCCTCTGAAGCGAGGACCACCGTGGGACCACAGTGCATGTTAAGCTAGCTCCTTCCTGAGGCAAGCAACCCCCAACTCTTGCTCTGAGCCCACCTGGTTCTTCTTCTCCTCGCTGGGTGCAGCTAGCAGCCTCTGCGCTCAGGGCAGAGGTTTGCTGCATCCCTCGCCTGTCTGAGACATGCAGGCAGCGCTGATGCAGGAACACAGACACGCACACACACATACACACACACACGCTTACCCCTCACTGCTCACAGGGCATAACGTCCTGACGCTTCCTACTTCAACACAGAAGACCACAGACCTGCCTGAACCTAAGCCACTGCTGCCACGTCCTTCCAACATCCACGATGGGCAATGCAGCCAGAGATCTTCCCCCCCACCACCACCTTCTTTTCATCCAAGCAAATCCCTCAAGCGCTTCTTTTCAACTTCCCCCCTCCTTCTTGCTCTCTTCTCTCTTTGCTCTCTGTCTCCCTTCAGTCTCATAGCCCCATTGCCATGCTCTGTGATCGCACTGCAGGTCTGCCGTATGCTGCCTGATGAAGTGGGGTGCTGTTCCACGTAACCACCTCTCTCCCTCTCTCTCTCTCTCTTCCTCTCTCTCACTATATCAATTCCCCTCCCTCTGCCTTCCTCTCCCTCTCTGCCTTGCACTCTCCTTCACTCTGTCTCGCTCTTTGCTTCTCAAACACACAGACAGATGCAAACACACACTCTTTGGTTGTCATCCGTCTTCCACCTCTTTCTTTGCCTTTCCCCACTCCTTGCACCTTCTTTCCCTTCAGTGTACTGATTGCAATTACACACAGCCACTCTGATCTCGTCAGCTGAGAAAGGACACCACTTGCAGAGGCAAGGTACAAGTCCAAAATCATAGGACTTGAATGTTGCGCTGCAACTGACCAGCCCTGATTTTTCACACCATTTTTTATTTTTTTTTGGTAGGAGATAGTGAAACAAAGAGCGCTCCTCATTCCACCTCCTTATTACCAGAGGGCTTTAATTCATTTACATCTTACTTTGATGATGGGACAAGGGAGGGCAGCATTGATTCAAGTCAGCAGAGCCTCTAATGCACTTGTACAAGAGCAAAGAAGAGAGGCGAAAAAATGAAAGAGGAAGAAAAACAGACGTGTCTCTCCTGATCTTGCTCAATCATGGCGAATGACAGTAAAGAGGCAAATTCCATTATGTACTTCCAGATGTTCATGTCACATCAAGCATTTTTGAAGCACAGCAGAAGCTACTTACAGCAAAAAGCCTGAATGAAACAAGCAAGATGATATAAAATTCTGATATATCTGGCGTAACAGGAAAAAAAAAGACCACTTTGACAGACTCCACCGACGACCAGTTGAGGGGCTGCTCGCCCTGTCTAATACCAGTGTTATCAGAATACAACTGCCAGGCAGAGCGTAATTATTCAGGCTCCCAAGCTGCTCGCAATCACCTCACACATTCCCTGTTGGGTCGTGAGCCAGTCAGTTAGTCATACCAATAAGAGGCAGCCCGAAAAAAGGAGCTATTGATTGAACCGCTTCTGTAATTGGGCACCTATACCAACGGCACTCAGGCCGCGCAACGCTCAGGTAAAGGCCAGGTCAGTTGTGTGTGACCTGTCAGTCATCCAGGCTTTGCTTGAGACCGGAGGGAGAGAAGCCACAATCAGGAGAGGAATGAAGGGAAGAAAGAAGAAGGAAGATGGAGGAGAGAACCAGTCAAGGACAGATAAGACACTGAAAAAGAGCAGCAGGCGATGAAACATTTGGTTGAGATAAGGACGGTAATAGTATGTGAGAAGAACTGAAGCAGACTAATTATGATTCACTAGAACTCCTCTTCCTGCTTTAGGCTTTTCTTCCGAGCTTCACGCTACTGCAGCTTTTAACATCCGGACAAAGCCTGGCAAAAACATCAGCCGCTACACCCATTTATTTCCGCTCATCCCCTCCCACATTAGACGGACCTAATTACTGACTGACAGAGTATCCAGTGCTCAACGGTGGGGGGGAAATGGGTCACTATTTTGTCCCCTGGTTTATTAGACCAAACTGTCAAATCTACCAAAGTGGATTTCCTCTCTGTTTGTGCACAGCAAGGTCTGGACATGCCTTGAAGGAGTGCCAAGAAAGACCTGTGCACAAAAAAAGAAAAAAAAAATGGAAGCAGAGGTTGTGCCTAGATAAAGCTGTGCCGCTTTATCAGAGCAGGAGAAAAGCAGTAGCTCCTTGTCAACACACCCAAGCAGTGGAGAAAATGAGCCGCAAAGCTGAATTAATTCAGGGAAACTGAAGGCGGACGCTTTTCCTTTGAACATCAGCATGTGCCTGTACACAAACCCAGTCGATGCCTCCTGTTAGCTGCGCTTTCTCTCCTCGTCCTCCCTGTGTGTTAAGCTCATTTACTCCACAGTCGAGGTACTCATAATGGGCACAAAACATAAACAGTTTCTGGCTTGACACGGCAAAATTTTTTTGTTCTTAAAAAAAAAAAAAGAAAAAGAAGAAAAAAAAAATCTCATTTGGGTTTTCAAAAATCCATTCCAAGGAAATGGCCGAGTCCTACATGATTTCTGACTTTAGAGGAGAATTATACAAATCAAAGCAGTCGAATCATCTTAATAAATATTTCTTCATTTCAGTCACAAAAATAAAAGCGAAATGACAAGAAAATGCTTTCTGTCTGTCTCACTCCCATTTGTGAATACTCTGAGGGCTACCTGTTTGTTTGCTTTCATCCTACTTAAAAATAAAAAATAAAAACTAAGCTCCCCATGAAAAAGGCTCTTACAAAAACAGCAACAAAGCATCTTCGTAACCTCTGAAAGTACTTGCTCACAATCTACAATTATAATCTTAGCAGTGACTGGATGACTCAGCTGAATCTGGGACATTTTCAGAATGTCATTCTTCTAAATGCTCCTCTGATTACTATATACCTATAAGAGTGGAAAGAAAAGACACGCTATATATCCCCTTTATGTAATGTCTCACTTCAGAGCTGAACTCTTATCGTTTTGTAGCGGTTCATCTAAAAATGCTTAGTAAGCTGGAACTTATAATTAAAATCATAAATTAAGGGTTCACTGGACACAAGCTTTGCTTAAAATGTATCCTAGCATCAGCTATTATAAATCCTTTTATAAACTGGGCATGTAATTATTGGTAAATGTACAGATTCTTTATTTATACATTCATTCATGACCTCTTACCGTGTAAATTAGAGAATATAAATATCAACGCTTTCCATGGCAACTGATGGCTGAAAATACACTCAAGAAATGTTCTTGGTTAATTAAGAATATTACAAGTGATCAAACCATTTCACGTCACACTTGTCACAGGGTTCAAAATGAGGTGACAAAAGATATGAGAAATAACTCCACATTAAAAAAATAAATTTCCATGCCTGTCGTTACAGTTTAGGTCACATGGACACCTCAGATCTGACTTTTCTCCTCCTTCACTGCTTGCCTCCAAGTCACTTCTACATGCCCTTGCTGCACTTTAAATCTCACCAAGTTACCTTGATATTCGGCTCATGTGTCCCAGAATCTGTAAAATATTAATGTTTTTATGATCTTGACACTCATTATACCTAAAAAGCAGTTGTCTGAATGCTTGTCAATGTTTAAAGTATGTTCTATGTAAATTCAGAATGTTACAAATTTTATTTTTGCAAGTTTTTACATTTCTTTCAAAGACATAAAGCCATACATCTTGAAAATGAACCTGTCCTTCATATAGTAAAGTAGGTTTGAAACTCAGAATGTCGAAACAGTCACAGTTGTGAGAAAGGATTTTGGCTACAGTGACAGACT